CGGAGGGTGCGGGAGCCGCGGCGGAGCGTCCCGGAAGCGCGGCAGGTGTGGGGCCGCCCAGGTGTCAGCGCAGCCGGCGCGACGCCGCCCACGCGGGCCCCAAGCCCGCAGCTGGAGGCCGCCGTCTGCGCCCCGGGACTCACAGAATCAGTGGCGGAGGGATAGCTCTGTTTACAGATTTTGAGCTACTCTCCCAAATTTTATACTTAACCTCCGTTGCTCCTGGACGTTCTTCATCCCCCACCCCCGTAAAATTTCCCAGGTAAAATATGGATTCATTTTTAACTTGGTTAATCTTTCCCTCTTCTAGGTTATCTTTTCTTGGGTAGGGTAAGAACTGTACAGAATTTGTAGAAAGTTAAAGTTCTCTTGTTTCTGGTCCATGTTTGCCCACAAATGTTGGCACTGGCCCAGAGCTTCACACTCCTTTCTAAATGTATACACACTTCTTAATGATAGTAAAATAAAAGGCTCTTTATAAGTACTTGAAACAACAGTACACCACATCAGGAAGATCCTCTACAAGTGTTGCTATGATTACTGCTATCTCAAACTGGTGTAAAAACGAAAGCCTGAGACAGAAAGCCATTCTGATCACCGTGTTTCATACTGCAGCAATAGCAGGACTTGTGTGATCTGTTTAAATCTGCTTGTTTACAGTTGCTTCTTTTTTTTTTTTTTTTTTTTTTACTAAGTGGACAGGTGAATTTCCTTTTTTAAAATTTCAGTCATCTGGTGATGCAGAGGTGTTCAACACTATCAAAGAAACAAAGATCAACGTGCAAAATATAAAAATGTGTAAACAGTAAAAACTAGAAGGGAAATTAATACACAAAGCAGGACTTTAGAAGAGAGGTTTTCTTTTAGGTCTAAAAGTTAAAAGCTTAACACACACACCTGCTCTGTTCCAAAACATCTGAGATTTGTGTGCATTTTTTTCAAGATTACATGCAAACACGTTCAAAAAATGAAACTTCCATGCTCCAGTCCTTAAATGCACTTGACAAAAAAACCAACAACAACAAAAAAACACTTGGGCCGGGGAGATGGCTTAGTAGGATAAGCATTTGATGGGCAAACTAAAGGATCTGAGTTCAATCCCTGGTTCCACAAAAACAAAACAAAACAAAACACTTGACCTCTGGATTGTCCTGCTGTAGAGCCAAAGACCCAGCCAGCAACAAGTTGAATATATTTTTTTTAAATGGAGTCACCTAGTGTAGTGGTACACAGCTGTATTCCCAGTACTCAGGAGACTGAAGCAAAAGAACTGATGAGTTCAAGGCCAGCATGGACTATACCGTGAGACTCCATCTCAAGAAATACTAAAATCTGGGCTGGGGAGATGGCTCAGTGGAATAAACACTTCCCTGGCAAGTGCAAGGGCCTGAGTTCAATCCCTGGTTCTGCCAAAATAAAATAAAATAAAGAAACACTAAAATCAAAGGTGATCCCAAATACTGAACATGTACAGACTATTTTTCTTGTCTTTATTAAATATAGTTTGACAACTATTTTCATAGTATTGTATTATAAACCATCTAGAGCTTTTTAAGGTGTATGAGAGGCTATGCTTTAGTTATATGCAAATATGCCATTTTATATAAAGAACAAGAAAATCTGCAAATGCTGGTACTGAGGTAGTGGGGTTGGCTTGGGAACCAATCTCTGGGATACTGAGGGATAGCTCAGCAAAATGGTAAAAATTTCTGGAAGAATTTCAGTTTTAAAAATCATTTCTAAAGTGTTCACTTCCTACGTAAGAGTATCAAGAAAAAAACAGGCAACAACAAATATTCCCTTGGCCACAAGAGGATGCCCAACTTACTTAACACAGTTTGAAAGTCCCCAGGGCAGATTTTCAATGTTTAATTCACTCAGAATCACAAACGGGCCAGGGAGAGAGCTCAGGGGCCGGGGTGACGGCTCAGTGGCATAAGGGCATGCCTGGCAAGTACGAGGTCCCAAGTTTGGTCCCCGGTACCATGGGGGAAAAAAATCACAAACATCTATATAATAACAGGAAAATATTCAGCTTTGCTTCTCTGAAGTACATAATTTATTAATTGCTTTAAATTTGTAATTCTACATTAAAGGACAATGTCCATGGCTTTGGAACTGCCAGTGCAAAGCTCGACCACCCTGCAATGTGTATACCAAAGGGAACTTGTCCAGTGCAACTCCTCCGATTTTGTCTTCTATATGTTTTGATTTTTTTTTGTTTGTTTTTTGAGACAGGGTCTCATTATCTATTGAGGCTGGCCTAGGACTCACTCTGTAGCCCAGAATGGCCTCAGACTTACAGCAATCCTCTTGCCTCAGCCTCCTGAGTGCTAGCATTACAGGCATGCGCCACCACGCCCATTCAACTCATTCTGAGTTCTTTTTCTTTTCTTGTTATTGGTCTACAGGGTATTCAGGGTCTCACTACTAGATCAGACTTCCGAGTGATCCGCCTGTTTACAGCCTCCCAAGGGCTGGGATTACAGGCCTGCACCACCACGCTCAGTCTCAATTGCCTTTTCAGTGCACCCCGGGGGCGGGGCGGGGGGGCTTGGCAGGCCTGGGAATTGAACCCCTGGCTCCTGTGCCTGCTTGCAGATGCTTTAATCTGCTGAGTTATTTGGCCGGCCCTCTTCTGATTTCTGAAAGTACACAGTGAAAAATCAAACAAGAGAAGAATGATAAACATACAGTATGGTCTCACTTCTTCAAGACATTATTTCACTTCTCTCCATTCACATGTTAAAATATTTCACAATTCACTAATACGACTTCCAGCCAATGGAGACCAGTATAGCAATTTACAGTTCATCTTCTGTTCTAAATCCTGCTTAATGCCTCTTTTTATCCCCTTCAAAGTTTTTTCCAGAGTTAATGAAGAAAACACAACAGAGTTTAAAATATAAAACAACACTAAGTGTGCTCTTAGCATTGTGCTAACTACTGCGGGAACTGTCTAGTGAGTGGCGGCTGGGTGGCAGGCAGTGCTGTAGGAACCTTACTGCAGTATCTCAGTATTCACAATCTGATAAGGCAGAAGTTGTGTGATTATTATGTTTTTGTTTTTGGTGCTGAGGACCAAACCCAGGGCTTCTAGCTTGCTAGGCAAGAATTCTACCGCTCAGCCAAATCCCCGGCCCTGAAGTTGTATTATTTAAAATTGACAAATAAGAACAATGTGGTAGAGCTTGAGGGCCCAGTCAAGTTATCGGCAAGTTCAGATATTTGCTCTTCTACTTAGAAACTGTGTAACTTTGGGCAAGGTACCTAACTTGCAGCTACTGCACCTTAGTTTTCTAATCTGTAAAGTGGATGTACTTCACAAGACTGCATTAAAAGGCTGGAGACATAGCTCAGTGGCACAGCACTTGGCTGGCAAATTCGGGGTCCTGAGTTCAATTCCCAGGACAAAAAAAATTACATTAAAAGTAAGCCAGGCATGGTGGTATATGCCTGTAATCCCAGCACTTGGGAGGTTGAGGCAGGAGGATAACCTAGGATCAAGGCCAGCCTAGGCTATACATTGAGTTCAAGACCAGCCTGGACTACACAGCTACATCTACTCTCTCACTGGCCCAAGACCTACTCTCAAAATACAAACAAACTGGGCTGGGGAGATGGCTCAGTAGAATAAGTGCTTCCCTGGCAAGCGCAAGGGCCTGAGTTCAATCCCCGGTTCTGCACAAAGAAAAAAAAAAAAAAACAACTTTGAAAACATCTGACACAAAACTCAACACAAATTCCATAGACAGTGTCTTGCAGCCAAATGAGCCATTCAGTGCAATCCTTGAGAGTTCACGGCGTCTCTCCACCTACTCCTACTGCAGCCGGACTCCTGTGTCACTGCTCCTTCTAGAAGACAGGTGCTGATACCCAGCCTGGGGTCTCCTAAGAGAGGAATGAATCATCGCAGGCACCCAAATCCAAGTTGGGAAAGCCAATGGCAGCAATTAGGTCTTCTTATGCAGAGAGCACTGCCAGTAACCAAGAGTGCAACAGAAGCTCAGCCACTCAGTTTCTCCTTCCAGCTAGGACATAACTGAAAAATGATGACCTGATGCCTTAACCTCCACCCTCGATACGCAGAAATATAGTATCTCATGTGGTTTATGTTACCTTAATGTAAGTTCTTTTAATATAGTAGTATGCCTTCTATGGTACCACTTAGTGCTTCTGGTGATGTTTTGAAGCTTTGAGGCTTCAGTACCTGTCTGGA